TTGGATAAATTTTAAAAGAGATGTGAGATATATTAGAAATGAGACAAAAGTCAAAGGGGATGTGGGGTATACGTCAAATGAGATGTAGGGTATCCGTCAAATGAGATGTGGGATAAACGTCAAATGAGATGTGGGGTATACGTCAAATGAAATGTGGGATATACGTTAAGTGAGATGTGGGATATATGAAAGGAGATTTTGGATAAATGTTAAAGGAGATGTGAGATATATTAGAAATGAGATAAAAGTCAAAGGAGGTGTGGGATATATTTCTAGTTGACGCTTTTACATGCTTCATCAAGATTCTATGAGCTAAGTATGGAAGTTGTCATTTCATTTCAAAAAAGAAAATGACATAAGAAATGTATTGGAAATCTTTATTTCCAATCATATCTATAACCAATAAACAGTGCCGTTGTATATCTGGTTTGGGTAACCTAAACATGCTATTAGACATTTTCGAAAACTTATCGACACTGACGCTTACACCTATGCCTAGGACGACAGGTAACCTTTTTAGGTGGGGTCATCTCAAGGTGTACAATGAGCACAGGCATTTATAAAAAAAATATATATATAATTTACACTTTAAATACTGTATTAAAAAATATTTTCAATGATTTGTTGATTTATTGGCTCTGCTTAGAAGCTGAGAATTGACCGATCTTCATATTATAATTTTTAAAAAAAGGGGGAAGGCTTTGTGTAAATTAGTAGAACTTTCCACAGAAAGTCAGGATTCTACTTCGTCAAAATCATCTCTCAATAACGCCGATTAATTTTTTCAATCGTGAAAATGGAAGCCATAGTAGGGATGACCCGCGTTGTCAACTTAGCTCTTGAAAACCGATAAATTTATCCACTTGGCATAATTACGATCCTTACATGACAGTTGTGTTTTAAAAAACAAATGTATCTACTAGCTATAAAGCATCTCATGTACTTTTAGGCCTTTTGTCAACTAAAAACTATTGTCTGTTTGGTTGTCAGGGGGAAATTTTAAAAGTTAATAAAAACATTAAAAAAATTCTATTTAAGTATTATGTGGAAGGCCAGACTAAACATTTGCAGAGGTTGAAGAATAATTAACCTAGATTACACACAGAAAAATGTTTTTTTTTCCAGTTATGCATTTTTAAGATCCACTTATAACGTCATGGACTTTTTGTATAAATCCAAGGAGGAGTTAGTGAACAACATTTGTCCCACTTTTTTTTTTAAATACATTTCATAAATAGAATAATTAATGTGCCTAAATTTTTCACTAAAATATGAGTGAACGAAAGTAAAACAAAATACAACTAAGAAATACACTTCCAGTTTAAACATTTGAAATAGCACGAAGCTTTTCTTATTTTATTCAAACACACCTACTCTGTTGTTATGACATATTAGAAAGGTATTTCACTTGACCCATATATTTCCTGTTTTGGTACTGTGAATGTATTATATCAAAATGTAGCCTAAATATATAAAAAAAAAAAAATAACGGATCTGAAGCGAGACTGATGTATCAATATTTTTGCTTTATACGTATTCAGGACAAAACAGTCAACTCAAACACGCTTGAACGTAAAAAGTTGTACCCGATTTTCTCTTTTGATAAGATGAATACCCATTTTGGTTATTTTACCTCAAAAACTACATGAAATGTAATTTACTGCTTGAAAAGGACAAATCAGTATAATTCGACAATTAGAAGAAAACAGTTGGAATATCACAAATCATCACTTAAAGAATTCCAAAACTGATGAGAGGACTTTGTGTTTCTAGCTCAGATTTTGAATTAAAAATTATAGAATGAATTTATATTTTTTTTTTCTACCTCTGCTGAGTCAAACAAAGTTTCACGAGGGGAGTCTTTTTCTTCTATGGGATATCCATCCTATTTGCAGGGTCGCCATATTAAAAATATATGCGTTTATTTTTAAATATAGTTTACCTCGTTTATATAGTTATAAATGTTAAATTAAATTCATTTAGTGTATTTTGACATTTTGATACGGTCCCTCTATTTTTTTAGTCAGTGTAGGTATCGGTGTCGGTATAAGTGTCGGTGTAGATGACTTTTCGAAAATGTCTAATAGACCCTAATTGAACTATCAAATTATAAAACAAGTGAGGTGGCAGGTGGATTTATCATTAAACAATTCATCACTTTAAAGCTGGCAAAAAAACTGTTACTCAACCTTTAGTTAATATTTAATGAACAAAATTAAATACCAATCATATTATCACATCAATCTAGGGCACAATACCATATACCAAGTTCATATGGTCACGTGCTCCAATAATATCAAGAACATGCTGTAATATTACCTGAAGTTTTATATTTACTAAGTTATTAGTGACTTGCGACACCGGTACTTGCGACAAAATGTGTGGAATTAAATCGTTCTAGTATATAAATTGATGTTATTAAAAAATGTAGCAATGATATGTTTATGGGTGTTTGAAAATACACCCAAACTTGGCATTATATTGAGACATGGGATGAATGCCTTGTAACTCAGTGGACATGCATATTTAGATTATGGTTAAGATTTTGTCGAGTAAACAAACAAGTTTTATGGGGAAAAGCATCTTGTAAAAGCAAATTTAAAATTAGAACCATAAAATCCATGTAAAATTTAAAGATATAAATATGGAGTTTTATGGGTAGTATTGATATTTCTATTGAACAAATTGAAAATGATAATTTTAGTAGAAAAGAGAGAAATGTTAGTTTGACTTAATGTGTAATGGACTTAAACACAAATTTTATAGAGAAATGTACTTATGTATAAATATGCCCGGCATATGCAAAATCTAGATGTGGTGTTTCGCGTCAAAGAATAGAAACGGGCCGATATGAAGGCATTGTTGCTGAGAATAGATTTTGTTTTCATGAAATATGTAATAAAAATGATATGGTCGAAGATGATCAACATTTATTATTAAAGTGTCCAGTAAATGTAGATTTAATTTGCGTGCTATATTATTCAACCGTGATAGTTCATTTGATTGTAATTTTGTTAATTGTCCAAATATGATTGATAGATTTAGTTTTTTAATCACAGATGAAAATTTGTCTTATTTATAGCCAACATCTGCTATGATGTCTTATTGATAAGAAAACAATATTTTATATACCTACAGATATTTGTATGTGGTATGTTCTATGATTTTAAAGTCTCTCATAACTCTTTTTAGAGTGGCTCTTGTTCTGCCCTTACCCTTTTTTCCAAAATCCGTTGTACGTTAGTTTTTTATCTATTTTCATCTAACATTAGTTATTTTTGTGTTTGTTTGTTTTAGACTTACATAAATATACTTTACATAACATTTGTTTACTATTTACTATAAATTGCTAGTTTACTATCCACAGCGGTCACTGATAATATGCACAGAAAGAGCTGCCCCACACAACAGTATTTTAGGGAAAAAATCAAAAAATGGGCAATAATCTTATCGCAAAAATGCGTGTTTGAGTTTACTGTTTTGTATCGAAAAAGTATGAAGGAATGGTAATCAGTTTTCAACCTGTGAACCTTTCTAGTGTACCTTTCCACGAAATATTTAAAGCGAATTTTTCTGTATTATTTTATTTAACTTTCGAAAATTCCACCCTGACAAGCAATCTGACAATAATTTCAAATTGACAAAAAACATTAAAGCACATTATATGATGCCTCAAAAAGAAAAAGATACAATTATTTTTTTTTTAAATACAACTAACTTTCAAATAAGGATCGGAATGTTGTCATGTGAATAAATTATTCGTGTTTCAAGAGCTAAATTAACAGCGCGTCATCCCTTCAATGGCTTCCATTTCTATGATTGAATATAATCACATCAATCAAAGACACGAGTAAACGTATCACGTTCATATGGTCACGTGCTCCAACTATACACGCGATACACACGATGTAATATTACCTAAAGTTTCATATTTACCAATGCTATTAGCGACTAACGCCCTATCATGGAGAATTAAATCGTCCCAGTATATTTATTTATAATATCAATATTGTATGCAGTAGGAATCGTGTTACATAAACTTGTTAGTGGGTGATGAGCACATTCCTGTGAATAAAAGAAGAAAACAATTACCAACCTTTACGACGGTTAAGGTTAGAAATGATGAAAATAACGAAAAGGGAATAAAAGAGACAAAATAATGATAACAAAATAATGAGGTTGTAAGGCAAAAAGAATAATAAAAAGGAATAATGGAACTGGTTTGAAAAACTCTGAAAACAGAAAATTTCACTATTCGAAAAAGTCATTTCTGTATTAAGCATTACCACTAGTGATATAGATTGTAGACACGCACGAATGAACCAATTATTGCCAAACAATGTGTGTTGTTAATTAAATTTGGTCAAGTTTAAAACAATGATGTCAGGATTTTGAAATAATCGCCAATTTGTGATGAATCATATGGTATTTTGGTTTTCATTGAGATTCCCGTTTTAATGTCACCCTCATATGATTACCTGTATGATTTGTTTACATGTACATACAACCTGCATAAATCCCTTGAGGATATCGACGTATTGCAATCCTATAAAAAATAATAATCTTGAGCAAAACACACCGGACCACTTTCCCATAAATACATCATTTTCAAGTATCTATGAGAAATATTGCTCAATGATAAAGTCACAATTAACTGGGAACGAATTGACCATAATAGATAAGCAGAAACAATTGAAAGCACTGTATCCGACACAATGCGGAATTTTTTGACAATCTGAATACAAACTACAATGTAATAAGTGCCGTCACAAATATTTCAGATACTTTGAAAAATTCAGATCGAAGATGTATACATATACCTGTCAAGAGGAAAAAAAATGAAGTTTATAGGTTTGGAATCTAAACGTATCCGAAGCATACAGAGAACTAAAAACAACAAACTTTGAATGGTACAGGAAAGGAACATCAGATTTTAAAAATCAAAAAGCGAATATAGAACAGAAATTGCCATTAGAAAAGTTAATTGTAAAGGTAAGATCATGACTACAAGAACAGCAAACAGTTCAAACGATGATCAACAACCAGAGACGCTCACTCAAAGGATGTCTACAAGAACAGCAAACAGTTCAAACGATGATCAACAACCAGAGACGCTCACTCAAAGGATGTCTACAAGAACAGCAAACAGTTCAAACGATGATCAACAACCAGAGACGCTCACTCAAAGGATGTCTACAAGAACAGCAAACAGTTCAAACGATGATCAGCAAACAGAGACCCTCACTCAAAGGATGTCTACAAGAACAGCAAACAATTCAACGATGATAAACAAACAGAGACGCTCACTCAAAGGATGTCTACAAGAACAGCAAACAGTTCAAACGATGATCAACAAACAGAGACGCTCACTTAAAGGATTTCTACAAGAACAGAAAACAGTTCAGCTGATGATCAGCAAACAGAGACGCTCACTCAAAGGATGTCTACAAGAGCAGCAAACAGATCAAACGATGATCAACAACCAGAGACGCTCACTAAAAGGATATCTACAAGAACAGCAAACAGATCAAACGATGATCAACAACCAGAGACGCTCACTAAAAGGATGTCTACAAGAACAGCAAACAGATCAAACGATGATCAACAAACAGAGACGCTCACTCAAAGGATGTCTACAAGAACATCAAACAGTTCAACTGATGATCAGCAACCAGAGACGCTCACTCAAAGGATTTCTACAAGAACAGCAAACAGTTCAACTGATGATCAACAACCAGAAATACTCACTCAAAGGATTTCTACAAGAACAGCAAACAGTTCAACTGATGATCAACAACCAGAAACACTCACTCAAAGGATGTCTACAAGAACAGCAAACAGTTCAACTGATGATCAACAACCAGAAACACTCATTCAAAGGATGTCTACAAGAACAGCAAACAGTTCAACTGATGATCAAGAACCAGAGACGCTCACTCAAAGAATGTATATAAGATTGACATGTTGACAAAGAAATATTGACTGGCAAAGAAAACATTCTATAGGGTTATAAGTCAAATTTTGCGAATCTGGCTATACCAACGCACGACAATTCCTATAACTACCACCAGAGTATCGAACAGGACATATATATTATAATTGACCTAGTCAAATATGTAGATGTACAATTAACCACTAAAAGGGAAGTCTCTGAAGCTATGCTGGATATGAAAAAAAAACCCCAGCAGATTAATTCGATTTGACGATCGAACACTTTCTTTGTGGCGGATATGAAGTTTTTGACAGCACACACAAAATTATCCTAGCAATATGTCAATCAGGAATTGTAACAGATATACTCACGGAAGGTCTCCTAGTCACAGTGTACACAAGAGAGAGAAAAGATGACTGGATTGTAATTACGACTACTGGAACATTTCCGTCGTTATATGTGAAACGTAAAACCAACTCGTGGTAGCGTCCATAACATTTTCGAAGGGTCGACTTCAATTTCATCACTTGAAACACTTGGATTTATAGCTTCTGTGTAAGCAGCAATCTTCTTTTAATAAAATAATGACAAGAAATTAAAGCTCTGGAATATCATATCAACTGAGAGATATATATTCCATATGCCGGCGCTGCATAAAATGGAAAGTTCACAATTAGGAAGCTGAAATTACCTGTTTTTTGTCAAAAAGTTATAGTCTTAACTGACCTTTATTAATAAATTGTAAATGTAAGTCAAGATATATACGTAATTGTGTATGTGGTATCCTTTAAGCTCGATGGGATAGATGCGTTCAACAATGTCATCAAGCTTTGGATTATTTGGTGAGAGGACATCATCTATATAACGGAACATGAAGTTAAACGATAATGCTAGTTATTTTCATTCTTTCTAAGAAGTTCATTTTTGAAGTCAGCCGCATATGAATAAAGGAACAAGTCGACAAGACTTTGACCATATGTAATCTGACAGATCTTTGGAATATTTTAGTATCTAAATCTGATTCACACCGCCCCTTAGAGTACGGACTAGGGACATAATATTTAAGGCTAACCATTGTCTTACTGTGGACATTAAATCAATGGCTAACCATTGTCTTACTGTGGACATTAAATTGATGGTTGGCCATTGTTCTACTGTGGACATTAAATCAATGGCTGGCCTTGTCTTACTTTGAGTTTTATAATAAAAAAATGCCATTTACTTACTTATTGTCTTAAAGACAATGCTTAATTGTGGCTGCACATTGAGAAAACTATATCAAAGACTGACCATGGTCTTAATGAGAATACTATACTAAAGGCTGCCTGTTGTTTTAATGAGAACACTATATTAAAGGCTGACCATTTTCTTAAAAAGAACACTAGAGAACACTATATTAAAGGCTGTCCGTTGTCTATATGAGACCACTATATTAAAGGCAGTCCGTTGTCTTAATGGGAACAGTATATTAAAGGCTGTCCGTTGTCTTAATGGGAACAGTATATTAAAGGCTGTCCGTTGTCTTCATGAGAAAACTATATTAAATGCTGACCATTGTCTTTAGGAGAACACTATATTAAAAGCTGACCATTGTTTTTAGGAGAAAACTATATTAAAGGCTGCCCGTTGTATTAATGAGAATATTATATTAAAGGCTGTCCGTTTTCTTCATGAGAAAACTATATTAAAGGCTGTCCGTTGTCTTAATGAGAACACCATATTAAAGGCTGTCCGTTGTCTTCATGGGAAACTATATTAAAAGCTGCCCGTTGTCTTAATGAGAACACTATTTTAAAGGCTGTCCGTTGTCTTCATGAAAAAACTATATTTAAGGCTGTCCGTTGTCTTAATGAGAACACTATATTAAAAGCTGTCCGTTGTCTTCATGAGAAAAATATATTAAAGGCTGCCCATTGTCTTAAAGAGAACACTAAATTAAAGGCTGTCTGTTGTCTTCATGAGAAAACTATATTAAAGGCTGCCCGTTGTCTTAATGAGAACACTATATTAAAGGCTGACCATTGTCTAAATGAGAACCTATATCAAAGGCTATCCATTGTCGTAATGAACCACTATATTAAAAGCAGTCCGTTGTCTAAATGAGAAAAGTATATTAAAGGCTGTCCGTTGTCTAAATGAGAAAACTATATTAAAGGCTGTCCGTTGTCTAAATGAGAAAAGTATATTAAAGGCTTCCCTTTGTCTTAATGGGAACACTATATTAAAGGCTGCCCGTTGTTTTAATGAGAACACTATATTAGAGGCTGTCCGTTGTCTTTATGAGACCACTATATTAAAGACTGCCCGTTGTCTTAAACAGAACACCCTATTACTAAAGACTGGGTATGTTCTTACTTCTTCGTTATCTTAAAGGCTTACAATTGTAAAACGGAGGACATAAAATTCAATTCATGTTTTCTGATATTATAACAAAGGCTGGGCATTGTCTTAATGTGGGATATTAAACTAAAGACTGGGTATTCTGTATCTTTTCGTCATTTTAATGACACGATTCTAATGTGCTTACTGTAAGACATTTAGGTCATTTAATAAAAAATTTAGATCCATTATTGTTATTGTGCTAAGGCACATTTTGAATTCTTGTCTTTCATTTTTGCTTATGTACTATGTCTGTATGTCATTTTGTGTTTCTTTGTTGAAACAGTTATTTATTTTTATAGTGATTAAGATTATATTACAGTGTTGACTGCTGTACCCCTATCTTTGACATTTTTACCTATTATGTCTGTTTGTTTTGCTCACACATTGTTGTCAACATAATGGAATTCAAAGCGACTGTCATACAAGTGAGAGGTTGAGCTAGCTATAAAACCAGGTTTAATCGACCATTTTCTACATAAGGAAATGCCTGTACCAAGTCAGAAATATGACAGTTGTTTTCCATTAGTAAGATGTGCTTGAGCTTTTGATTTTGCCATTTCATAAAGAACTCTCCGGTTTGAATTTCCCTTGGAGTTCGGTATTATTGTTATTTTACTTTTTAGATATAATGAAAAAATTTTGGTTAATTAAAATGAAATCACAAACCCGAAGGTAACGATCCAACGCCTATCCATTGTGTCTATGATTTAAAATATTACTTTTCAGAATAACAGTTCTTTCATTTATTAGGCCCTATTATCAGTTAGTTCAAATAACCACCTTATTATCATGAACGATTTACAAGAAACAACTAGAGGTTAGGGTAAGGGTTAGGGTTAGTTCAAATAACCATCTTATCATCACGAATAATTCACAAGAAACAACTAGACTTTATAATTAGAAAAAAATAATTAGAAGTATACAGGTAGAGGATTTAAATTTAAAAACAAAATCGCGTGCATTTTCACTATACTGTTCTGTGTTTCCATTGAATTATTATGAGTCTGATTATTATGTGCAATTTAATGGAAGTATATGCGACTGTCATACAAGTAAGATGTTTAACTAGCTATAAACCAGGTTTAATCCACCATTTTCTACATAAGGAAATGCCTGTACGAAGTCAGGATATGACAGTTGTTTCCATTCGTTTGATGTGTTTGAGCTTTTGAATTTACAGTATAATGGAATTATATGCGACTGTCATACAAGTGAGAGGTTTAGCTAGCTTTAAAACCAGGTTAAATCCACCATTTTCTATATTTTGTACAAAGTCAGGAATATGACAGTTGTTTTCCATTCGTTTGATGTGTTTGAGCTTTTGAGTTTGCCATTTGATAAGGGACTTTCAGTTTTGAATTTTCCTTGGAGTTCGGTATTTTTGTTGTTTTACTTTTTACAAAATGAAGCATATTCGAACTAACTTCTAAGTAGATATAATACGAATGTTACCGAATTTCATGCAAAATATCTAATTTTTGCAACATCACGATTTACTTTCATAGTGATTTGCCAAAATGCAAACTTAAATATATGTATTAAAACAGACGAGATCATCCTATCTTATAAAACAAATATTATCATTTTCTTTAAAATACATGAAATAGCCAATGATAAACCAAACATAAACAACGGGAAATCTTTTGTTATATCAACAGCAACACACAAAATAAGAAAAACGTAAACAATAAAAGAAAATGGACAATAAAGAGAAAACAGGGATTCAAACCTAAACCGACAAATCTCTTATTCTAAATTTGACTCTACAACTCATTTAATTGATTATGAAGAGACCATTCATATAATAGAAACTACTTTAATCTAAAATCGATTTGGAAACGTTTTCTTTTTCCACGTTTTTATGTAGGTTTAGATGTGATAATACAAGTAAGGTGATAATTGAGTTGTTTAACAATTGATATTCCTATAATTTCACCAGATATCAACCAGTATAGACGTACATTTAAGGTACAGTACTCATTTATTATTTGTTTTTGTATTTTGCTTTTTTGGCATTCTGGTAAAAATAAATAATTGATTAAACACGACTTAGAAAATATTTACACAGATATGTGGGGTGAATCTTCAATTAATCGGTAAAATTTTAATACTAGGTAAAATAAAACCAACTATTCTCTAACAGATCACAAATTGAATATTCAGATGACCATATGATAAGAAATGCTGAAAAGATTATCAGACATGATATCATATTCTTTAGACCGGTAAACATATCCTGTTTGACATGCAACACCCATCGTAGTCCAGTAGTCAAATGCAAATTTAATGTGCTGATGCAAAACTGGAAAAAGAACGGATGTATATACCGTCACTTGTGTTATTACACAAAAATGTATCTAAATAAACTTTGAAAAGATATGTCATCACGTTTTGTTTTATCAAGGTGAACGGTCTTTGCTGCCTATTGGTAGATGTAAATTTGAATCTTAGCATAAAATGTTTTTTCGTCCCTAACCCTAACCCTTTTCCACTTTAACAAATTTGTACTAATCACTCGTTACACTTTTAGGTCCAAACAACATATACAAATATGGATTTAGTAGTCCAACCGCATGAACAAGGCCTTTGCTACGGAATGTTTAATCATCCAGTTGAGTCAAGAATGAATACAAGCGATGT